GACACAAGTTTAAATCCTGCTGGAGGGCACATCCTTTTTTTATACAAATATGTATGTATGTGCATGTATGTATGTATATATATTTATATATATTTTTGATATATGATTGCATATGTATGTGTATATTTACCACTAATATTATCTATCTATCTATCTATCTATATATATATGTATGTATGTATGTATATATATATATATATATATATATATATATATATATATATATATATATATATATATATCTGAAACCACCTGAGGAATAAAGTGAACAATTGCAAAAGGGTTAATCTATGGAACTCTGGAGTTGAGATGTTGAATATAACAACAGCCAGGTAAATGAGAAATTTTATTTGTATTAATCATATATACTCGACTCTCCTGTCAAATTTGACATATGAGGGTCAAGCAGATCAGTTTCTAGGAAATTGACAGCCCGACAACAGCACATGAGATTTGATTATAGTGGTGAAGGATTTGTGCAGAAACATCCACACTTTTTGAAAAGCTAAATACAGAGACCTGGTGTACTACGTGCCACAAGGTCCCCAAACGACACTTCACAGGTTTTGAATTCAGAGTTGGCCTTCTCTTAGACCAGTTGCCATCGAAGGCTATAGGATCCAGTCTGTCCTGCTATTTACCCATAGTTGGAGGAAGAAGAAGAGGATTCACACCTTTCCCAAAGGTATTAGCACATAAGTGAATATGATTGATTTGAAATGAATGAAATTTCATTGTTGGAAGTGTTACCTGATGATCCAGAATCCTTTAAAAAGGATTTTGGTGAAATAAATTATTGTAATGGTACCTTAAAGTGGTCTGTTTTTCATTAAATATTAGCTCTGTTCTTCACATTGAGCTCTCAGGATTTCATCCTCCTTGGATTTACCAATTCGGTTTACCAAGTTCTTCATAACTTATATATATATATATATATATATATATATATATATATATATATATATATATATATAGAGAGAGAGAGATAAATCAAGATGCTGAAGGTATCATCAATCAGCTAAGTGACAAATTTTTTATTTGAATCAATCATATATGATTAATACAAATATAAAATTTGTCATATGTATATATATATATATATGTTTTAATATATTTATACATTATTTTTATAGATTCAAATATTTAAGTAAATGCTCTGTTTATAATAAACAGTATTAAACAACATTTACCAGGTTGAATGTCCAAGAAATCTCAAAGAAAATATGTCTACTGACAGGAATCGAACCAGTATCCTACACAAAACCACCATATAGTCTGACATGCTAAACCGTTTAAATAAAGAGGAATATTTGTATCTATAAAAATAACATATAAACAAAAAAAATATTAAAATAATTGTTGGACTTAGTCCATTTCATAATATATATATATATATATATATATATATATATATATATATATATATATATTATGAAATGGACTAATGGACTAAGTCCAACAATTAATTGTGTATATATATATATATATATATATATATATATATATATATATATATATATATACAGTAGCGTCCAAAACTAAGGGACAAAATTTTAAAACTTAATATTTGTTAGAAATAACGACTGTGAAAAGCTGAAATTTTGACATCTGGTAGTCGTTATCATCCATAATAACATACTAAAATTTGAATCATTTGCAAAGGATAGAAAAAGAATTATAACAATTATTTATTTATTTTCAAAATAGGATCGTCCAAAAGTAAGGGACAAAATTGAGAAAAACAATGTAAACAGTATGCTATATTCAAATTTTTTTGATTTAAGTCTTACTTAGTCATTTGTAAACGTTGCATCAGCCGGCACCATGGCGAAACGACAAAAACTTGATTACTCTGTGAGACAAGCTATTGTGAAGCTACACAAGGAAAAGCACACAATTAGAGAGATTTCAGAGAAAGTGAAACGTTCCAAGAGTGTTATAGGGAGGGTTGTTAAATCCTACAATGATACTGGCAAAATAGTGCTTTTAAAACCCGCAGACCCCGCAAAACTTCGGCAAGAGAAGATCGAATAATGCAGCGTATGTCATTAAAGGACCGTTTTAAGTCTTGCACAGAAATTAAAAGGGTTATGAATAGTACCTCATGTGTTGTTTGTAGACGACTGCAAGAAATAGGGCTGTTTAATCGAACACCAGGGAAGAAACCACTTGTTAGTTCGAAGAATAAGAAGAGATTAGAGTTTGCAAACAGGTATGTAATTTGGACATATGAAAATTGGGCAAAAGTATTTTTCAGTGATGAAAGCAAGTTTAATTTATTTGGAAATGATGGAAAAAACAATGTAAAGAGACGTTTTGGTGAAAGATTAAGTGCAAAGTGTACTAAGAAAACTGTTTGGGGGCGGAAGCGTCATGGTATTTGGAATGTTTTCTAGCCAAGATACAACGCCTCTTGTCCGGTTACAAACTCGTGTAAACGCGCAGATCTATAAAAACATTGTTCAAGCTCATGTTGTGCTAATCATACAGAATTCAGGTTTCGATAGGGCTATCATTAGGCAAGATAATGCCCCATGTCACAAGGCAAAGGTGGTAATGAGTTACCTTAGCGAGCAAGATTTGGAAATTATGGATTGGCCACCGCAAAGTCCTGACTTAAATCCAATAGAAAATCTTTGGAAGACCTTAGGAGTGAAAGTTATGGAAAGAAATCCCACTAACACGGAGGATTTGTGGGTGAAGCTTCAAGAAGAATGGTCTAAAATTAGTATCGAGGATTGTCAAGAACTGATTCGTTCTTGTAGTCGAAGATGTGCAGCTGTCATTGAGAGCAAGGGCTCATTTACTAAATATTGATTCTACATGTATTTTTATTGTTTTTTTTTTTTTTGCCGTTTACATTGTTTTTCTCAATTTTGTCCCTTACTTTTGGACGTTCCAAATTTGAAAATAAATAAATAATTGTTATAATTCTTTTTCTATCCTTTGCAAATGATTCAAATTTTAGTATGTTATTATGGATGATAACGACTACCAGTTGTCAAAATTTCAGCTTTTCACAGTTGTTATTTCTAACAAATATTAGGTTTTAAAATTTTGTCCCTTAGTTTTGGACGCTACAGTATATATATATATATACTCACACAGAAAAGAAAGAGATTGAGAGAGTAGATATAGGAATCAACATTGCACTGAGACTCTCAGTTTCATAATTCACCAACAACTTCAGACTGATTTGATTTGAAGATTGTATTGATAGTCACCATGCAGTGTTGATTCCTATGTCCACACTGTCTATATCTATAAGCACTCTCTTTCTGCCCCCCCTCTCTCTCTCTCTCTCCAATATTGAACACTCTTTCTCTATTAATACAGCAAATTTTAAAATGAATACACACACACATAACTGAATGACAAAATAGAAAAAAAATCCTACATTATACATCTCATCCATAACAGTGACTTCTTTCAGTGTATGTGTTGAATAAGTTATCTGATATTATGTGGAAAATTGTTAATAAACTTGCCAAAATTATGTGCAATGTCCCAAGTACATTCAACCATCATTGGTTATTTTCAAGGAAAGAAGATAAGATTGAAGCATTTATGTTGTCATTGGTCCAAAGTTTGAAATGAACATGGATTCAAATGACTGTGGATTGGATTTTAACAACACTTGGCAAAAACTATCTGACAGTTCAAAGACATTTTTATTTGATAGCATGTTGCTTTCTGTTGTTGTAAAGACCTTAAAGAATTTTTAATATTTTTTTACAGTTGAAATGTCAGAGTACTGTTGCACTGTCAACCAAAATCTGATAAAGGAGTACTAGGAATTTGCCTTATAGATTTACACTGGCTCAGAGAAATGACAATTCATTTTTTCAGAGGAATGTTGTACTTTGACCACTATATCCAACATTGCAGAACTTCTGTAGAAAGCAATGTTGGTCTGAAGGTGACAAGTCTAACATATATACCCCATGTGAAAAGACTTCCCATCCCAACTCTATTACTGCTTGCTGCCTTGCAATAAAAGGATGGGTAGTGTCAGGCAGCAAAATCACTGGTCAAATTCTTTGCCAAGAAAAAGTTGATTTAATTTCTAATGTATTGTTCAAATGATTTTTCTACCCATAATGCATTATTGACAAGCATATATAAATAGTTATGCCAAAATACAACACACATGGTTTCAAGAAGGCACTTAAGCATAAAACAGATTGTCGCTGCTGGGTGTCAATGTCCACTTTGTCCCTGATATTGAGTATTTTAACCCATAAATATAGCATACTTTAAACCTATATATATATATATATATATATATATATATATATATATATATATATATATATATATATATATATATATAATTTATAAGTAATTAATGGATTTTTAAACAGGTATTATTTCTTATTACCATAAACATTATATAAGTAAAAAAAGAAAATATACTTTGCTTCCTGATCAGAATTGAACCTGTTTTCCCTACAGGTACAATTCCAGTCAGGAGGCATATTTTAAGACAAGACTTATCTTAAGAATTATCTTAAGACTTTTGATCTCCTGGCTGATAGACATAAATTTTGCTGTTTAAAAACAGTAATGTTTACTCAAACACATTTACCCACTGAATATAACATTTATAATAATATATATATAATAAATAAATAAATTATATAATAAAATAAATCTGTTCACTTATATATAATTACTATATTACTAATTGAGATAGATAGATAAATAGATAGATAGATAATGAAAAACATGAAATATATATATAGATAGATAGATAGATAGATAGATAGATAGATAGAGCTATTAGCTGGATTTTGATCTAAATTTTTTACTGCATAATGTTTTAAAGTATAATTATTTACTACAGTATAATTTTTCCATGTATACTGTATATAATCAAGTATGATGTAACTTTTGAAGACCTAATTTTGAAGCTAATTTGACTACAGTAAATGGATATATAGTTTGGTCATTGGCCTAGCTATGGCCAGCAGTATATATGCTAATTTTATATCTCATGTATGATGTGACCACCTTAAAATAAGCTTCAAAATTAGGTCTTCAAAATCATGTGATAAGCAAGTATATATGGTAATTAATATTTATCACTGAATTAATTGAGTTAACAAGGAAGTAAATTATGTAGAAAATTAAGATATTTATATAAAATTAGGCTATCTATCTATCTATCTATCTATCTATCTATCTATCTATCTATCTATCTATCTATCTATCTATTTCAATTTAATCCTCTCTATCTCAAACAATATCTATCTATCCATCTAATAAAATATATGGGTTTGTGCCCAAGAGATTAGAACAATCATTTTCTGATCATGAAGCCCAGGTTTGAATCTCACTATGGTCTATTTTGTCATTTCAGAAAGTACCTGAAAACCATAGAACAGGTTGACCCAAGACTGAGTAAAATTGCATAGATGGATCTATTCAAAAGCCATTGATTGTTGTGTTTGCATGAAAGATTAATAACAGGAAGAAATTGATTATTCAGACCAATAGTAAAAAAGAGTAAATAGAATAACGTTATGACTCAGTTTGGAAAGCTAATCAAATGCATCTTCAACAACAAAGATCTGAACTTAACAACAAAAATTATGGTTTATAATGCTGTTGTCATTTCAAATTTGGCTGTGGAACCTGGACTCTATATTGTAACAATACCCCAAAATTAGAACACTTTCACCATTAAAATCTCCATTCAATCTTGAACATCAAATGGGAATACTATATGGCCAACAATAAAGTCCTGGAAAGAACCAACAGTCGAAGCATCACTAATCAATGGCCAGGACATGTAACAAGAATAGAAGAATCAAGTCTTATTCAGCAAGCTCACTTCAGATAATAAACCATGGGGTTGCCCTCTTTGAAGATACAAGGACCAACTTAAGACTGAAAGCAACTGGACTTAAATCCAGCTTAAATCATATGAAACACAAACCCAAGCCTAAATCATATGAAACACAATAAAGCCTAAATCATATGAAACACAAACCCAAGACTGTACCAACTTACAGTTACATTTCCCATTTCAACAGTAAGATGATGAGACCTTAGCACAAATATAGTACTGCACTTAAATTCATAAAGTCTAGGTACCATAGTGGAAATTTCATTAGAACAGTTACCATGAAAGTATTTGTAGAAAAGGCACAGGGAAACAACATTATGAGGTGGGAAAGTGATTACCTGATGCCAGGTAAGGACCAATCTTTGGATTTTATCAAGAATCTTTAAACATATAACAAAAACACCAGATGTGGCAGCAATATTCAAAGCAAGGATGAATGATAGACTTATAAATATGTACGATAGATTCTGGCAAGAAAAACAAAACCAGCCACAAATCCTGAAGCCACCAGAAGAGAAAAGGAAGATGTCAGATGACAAGGGAGAAAGGCTTAACTAAATAAACCCCATCCCTTACCATGCAGTCAATGCCACTGGTTCTTCCATGCAAGTAATGGTCTACTTAATCAACAATGCCATCATCATAAATAAAGTGATCAGCAAAGAAGAAATTAAATTCTTGGATATGAGATAAAGCAACAATGAGTAAGAAAAGCACTTAAATGTTCACTTATCTTGTTACCACTCTGAGTTTCATGGAAAATATGAACTCATTAAGAAACTTGAAATGAAATCAAAGGAAAACAAGTCTCCTGAAGAGTGGATATTGTCTGCAGAACTCAGAGACATTTAAGTAAGTGGACATTTAACTAATCTATCTATCTATCTATCTATCTATCTATCTATCTATCTATCTATCTATCTATTTCAATCTATTAATTTCACGTTGCTTCACTTCTCTCTCTCTTTTCTCTTTCTTGTCTTTCTCTCCCTCACTCTCTCTTGTCTTTCACTCTTGCTCTTATCTATTTTATCTTATCTTCCTCTCTCTCTCTCTCTCTCTCTCTCTCTCTCATTCTCGCTTATTTTTCTCTCACTTATTTTTCTCTCTCTTGCTCTCACTCATTTTTCTTGCTCTCTCTTATCATTGCTTTCTTATCATTCTCTCACATCTTCCCCTCATTTATCTTTCCCTTATCTCTCTCTCTCTTATCTTTCCCTCTCTTATTTTTCTCTCTTTCTTATCAATCTCTCTATTACTCTCTCTTATCTTCCTCTCTCTCTTATTTTACTCTCGCTTATCTTTCTCTTTCTTGCTCTCTCTTATCTTTCTCTCTCTCTCTTATCTTTCTCTCTCTCTCTTATCTTTTTCTCTCTCTTTTACTCTAATTAG